GTGGAGGCGGGAGCGTGCTCTCAAACCCGTAGTCGTACTTGGTACCAAAGTGCTTCTCGTGCTCCTCAGGGGGTACGGCGTACTCCACTTGGGAGGCGGTGGAAACGCGCGTTTCTTTGGTCTCCATAGATGTGGGGTCGGCCATTGTCGCGTTATTGCTTGGGGGGTGAATCCGGTCAAGGACCAAGGCGTTGATAGACGGCAGCGGGATGGGGCAGATATACACCGAGCAGCGCTCTGGCGAAGCAAATGTGGAGGGTTATCTTCTCAATCTCCGGTATATAAATACTCGATATTATACGCTCTTCGCTTGAACACCGCTCGTTCCTGACGCAGGGGTGCGAGCCGGAAGACCGAATGCCAGAACCTGCGAAGCAGAGCACGCGACGCAAAGGACGTCATGCGGGCCCCCGCGTTTGGCCCATCGTCAGCCTAGCAATTCCAGAAGGGGGATCATTTGCCCGCGCTCTTCATGTACCAACAAACGGAGAAGACAAGCTGAATCGTATGGAGCGCAAAGAAGCATTCACTTGGCAGACGTAGGCACTGGATCGCCCCAGTGCACCACCCAGCATGCTCCCCGAATGACGTCGGCTGTCAGCCAATCACACCACGCCAGCGGCTGGCAGGAAAGGGTAGCTAAAAGCGGGGGTGGCGGTGTAACCGGCTATTCGGCCCAAATGCCGGTGCATGGGCGCACGGCGATGTCGTTGGCAACACAATTCATCGCGTCAACCACGAGCGAGTCACACGGTCGGTGAACAGCGTGCTCATAAGCACCTTGCGCATCATATTCTGGGCCAACTCCTGGCCAACTCCTGGAAGCCCGATGTCCGCCCCCTTGCCGCCCGAGGTGCTCCTCGAGGTGCTCGATCACATCTCCGGACCGCCGCTGGCCTTTCCCGACCCCGAATCGGTCGAAACGCTCCTCGCGCTCTGCCTCACCTCGCGCTCGTTCTATCCACATGCTGCTCAAGCACTATACACCGCCCTCAGCATCACCTCATTCTCGGCGCTCGGCAAGCTCTCCGAGTCCGGCGTCCCAGCTGGCAGGCGCGTGCGCGCCCTCTTCTTCAGCCGTCGAGCGCGACTCATGGCGGGGGCCCACCCACCGGCGGAACGTCTCCTCTCTTTGCTTGCTCCCACTCTGCAGCGCGTAGTATTCGAAGGCCACACTCCCTCTCCGCTGGATGCATACCTCTCCCGCATGGCCCTCTTGCAAGAAGTCGCCTTCACAAGGCAGGCCACAGAGCTCTGGGGACTCGCCCCGGTCTACCTCGAGCCGTGCCCCGGCGTGAAAAGACTCGCGCTCCACGACTACTGGACGGACGAGTACCACGTGACGCGGATCTGCGCGCTCTTCCCGGGGGTTGTGGAACTTGTTTTGGCTTGTGATGTCGGGGCGGAGCTGGTGCGGGAGGTGCTGAAGACGTGCACGCACATCAGGAAGGTGACGATCCTCCGCCCGCGCGCTCGACCAGGGGACGACTGGCACGCACCCCTCCAGACCAACTTTGACCCAGAAGTGGAGAAGAAGAAGGCACTCGGAGTAGAGAGCAGGGAGCGCGGTACACACATTTGGGAGCTGTCAGCCCCGGAGGAGGACGGCGAGCAGCCGCCGAGCTGGGCGCCGGGGTGCGTCAGGGCAGGGGATTGCTGGGACCTTGGGGGCGTCGAGTGGTGATAGAGGGTTGCACATGGTCAGCTCGGTATGCTGAGGACATAGATAAGTGTAAGATAGCTTAGAACTGGAACGGGCTGATTGGCGAACCCTAAACTGTACTTCTCCATTGTATCGTTACACAATATGTTGTGGGATCTTCAAATAAGTCAATAGATTTCATCGTACCCACGCGCCGGTTCATGATCGCTTCTCCTGCTCGACAGGGGATGGCTCGTCGCCTGCCTGCTCACGCTGGTGAGACATGTCCGGTACATATAGCCCAGGCTCGGCAAGACACGGGAAGCCCCTCCACTGGTACACAGGGGCTACGACCCTCTGCTGGTCGACAAGCTGGTGGTGATGTTGATGATGGTGGGGGTGGTGTGTGTCCACTTCTTGTGGCTGGTACGCCGGGCCTTTGGGCCCATCCAGGGAAGTGACCATCTCGAATCCCAGGGTGAAGAGGGAGAGAGATCCAACAATGGCGAGGGTACGGAGGGTTGTGAGATGTTCTTGGGGGGCGAGAGGAAGGAGAACCGTAATAAGAGCAGAGATAACGCGGAAGGAGAGCCGCCAGGTCTAGAACACTTATGGTTAGGGATAAAGCCTCATTGGAGAGCAGGAGGACGTGCCTTTGAAAGCCAAAGGACGCCTGGCTCATCCCTTTCTCTTTCCAGCATCGCCAGCATCCAGATACCGATCATGGCAACAGCGTATCCACCACTGAACATCCATCGGTGACCATCGCTGAGCCCTTCTTCCTCCGCAACAAACTCGTAGGTTGTGTCTCCCACGAGCGTAAGGGCTGCCACAATAGGAAAGTGCAGAGAGAACCAGAAGACGGCAAACCAGTTGCTCTGCTAACGATTAGCAAAATGGCCACACACAATGGATGTGCCTACATGTCGGATAGGGTGCGTATATGTTTTACAGCCTGAGCCATGAACATATAGCAATTGAAAGGAGAAGGCGATCATGACGACAAAGACGCATCTCCACGCGCCTATCGGCATTCCGGGACCGGCTGGTTGCCGGCTGATCACAGAGAACAGGAATTCGCCCATGACCAGCGTGAAGAAGTCGTTGAATCGCTCTATCTCGTGGTCGATTGCAACCGCAGAGGAGTACTTGAGCTTGAAGATCTTCTTGGTCCAAGATGAATATGCGCCTGTCCAGATCACGTACTCGCAGAAGACGGCCACGGCCGCGAGTGCGGCAGCAGTGCGTATCGGCGCAAAGATGGTCCCAATCCAGAGGGGCAGAGGTACCAGGCACCAGGACATAAAATGGGCGCGGATCTGCGCGCGACGCGACTTGACGAAGAATGTGTAGAACAAGTACAGGAGGGCTGAGACAAATGCCGCGATGAGGTATGTCGCGATTGCCGTGATTCGAGCGGCGCCTCCACCGTCTTCCGCGTTCCAATCGTTCTGAACATCCGTCGCATTGTTGCCGTACATCACCAGGCAAATCATGATAAAAAGGACAAGCAGCCGTTGCAGCACATCGTCCGACCAGAAGGAGTTGAAGAGCTCCCGAATGTACGTCCATATCATATAGACCGGCGCAAATGTTAAGATGTACTGTCACAAGCAATGTCAGTCACCATAGTAGAGCTGCAACAGAATCGAGCACACCTTGGCCACATGAGCCCCATCAGGATTGTCAACGCATTCTCTGGCCAACACTGAAATAAGACCGACAAATGTCAGGTCGAAGAACAGCCTATACGAGATATCAGCTCAGCGAGCTGTGCGGGTGGGCAACAATACGCACTCGAGTCTTCCGCTCTGACGCTCCTCGTTCTCTCGTACAAGGACATGCCCCTTGAAATACTGGAGCACCCTAGGCCGCCTGAACAGGTATCTCCGCTCCCTGTGAATCCGTGCCGCTTGCGCATCCAGCCTCTCAAACTCTAGTTCCGAATCCGCGTTGGTCTCACCGTCCGCTATGGCATCGAAGTCGAGATGTTCCAGCTGCCCATATCTGAGATGGTGCGCGTGCGGGCTGGTAGGTGTCGAATGATGGTTCTGCTCGGACGCCGGTGGGACGGCGGGGCCAGGGTGGCGGGCTTCGACATGTTCCCTAGGCGATGTCGACGACCCGGCCACCGGGACATTGGTAGGATCCCCCGCACTCATCTTGCTAACTCGATGAAGGTGGTTCAAATAAAGAGTGGGGCATAGGTGGTTGACAACGGCTGGGTTGGAGGATGGCGAGATCACCAAAGGAGCGGAACTGAGCAGGCGAGACTTGGCGTCCGGCGCTAAAATGCCGGGAGTAAGGGCTCATCAGACCGCGGTTAGCGCGCGTGCAAAACCTTCATTCGATTTGTGTCACATCGAAGTCGACTTCCAGTCAGTCCAGAATTCAATGCATGCTTCTCATATTATCGGTTACGTCTCGATGACAAAGCCAATATACTTATGCAACGCTTAGATGGCACGGTCATCATTGGTTCTGATCAAGAAGTCGCTGTACTTTTCCATTGTAGCCGAATGAATGTCTCCGCCCATCCATGCTGTTCGGCCATGCTGCCGGGCAAGTCCATGAAAGAAACATCGTTTCACAGAGATTGGAGTCAGGCCGCTTCCCAGAGTATGCCAACCGGCACGCGTTGTTGGGTTTGTAATGTTTCACGTTAGCGTGGTATTGACTCCAGACGTACCTGTGGCTCCTTTTGGCTGGCGCGCCGGACGTCGTAAGCCGGCTCTTGTTCGTATTCCACTTCTCGTTCTCGTTTGGTGCTTCTTGACGTGCGGCTTAATGTTTCAGGCGGAAAGAAAGCACTGCGGAGACGTGGCGATGATTGTGCTTCCAAAGGCGTTGGAAAGCGCCTAGGCCGTGCCACTTGAAGAGTCACGAGCTGGTCTCTGCGGTTCGGGCCCGGGATCTCATTGTCGGGTTTGTAGTGTCATTTCGATCGCGCGTCCTTTGCCTTCTCAGGCTGCAGGTCTTTCGTCACCCCGGCAGCGCAGAATCTTGGAACATGCCGTCGAGTTCCTCATTGAACGCCTGATACTAATCAGCTTCTGAATATCAGACTCGAATCAAGGCACTCACGTCATACATGAATTCGCAGTCATCGCATAATCGAGAAACCTCTTCAGCGCGCTGCACTGCTTCTTCCCGTGCTCGATCTCGCTTGCAGCTTGCCGATCTCGCCGCGTTCGAGTACCTCACACTCCTGCGTGAACCCTCTCCAGGTGCAGAGCAGGATCGGGGCTCGCGAGCGTGGACTCTTCCTGGCGACGCGCGACAAGACCGTTTGGGTGCGGCTCCATACGACCCTTCCCCTGCGGCTGATAATCTTGGTATTTTCAAAGTACATATCCAAGGCGAACTGGCCCAATGGTTCAAGGCGCTTGACTACGACGGTGTAATCAAGAGATTGCAGGTTCGAGTCCTGCGTTCGTCAAAATACTTCTTTTTGGTTTTCAGCACTATGCGTGCATAAATTGAAGAAAAAAAAAAGTTCCGTCCACTTTACCGTCCCTTGAATTCTACCGATAGGACGTCCGTTTGTTCCTCGGTTGGCGATGATAAACTCCTTTAACAATGACAGGTCTTCCGATCTTTGGGCATCCAGGCCAAACGAAGGCATACGAACCCAGTAGTAACTCCTGCGTATTTCCTTCCACACACGGGGTATAGTAGTTCGAATAATGCGAAGTTGTTGGTATACAGTACATGATGCCAACTCCCACCCACCTGCAGCATCGCCTACTCTGTGAGCACATCCACGCCGGTTTCGGTGACGAGCACCATATGCTCCGCCTGGGCACTCCTCGCCCCGGTCTGCACTGTTGTCAGCCTCTAAGCTCGCAAAGCCAGAAAGCACTCACCTCAGTGGAGACCGTCCACCCGTCGGGCCACATGAACCCTCTGCTGTCCTCGTCGGCCACGATACATGGCTAGACGGCGGTCAGACCCCTGCACCAGCCAAGAAACGCGGGCCCACCTCGATCGTAAAGCAGTGTCCGGGAATCATGACGCCCGGCTCCTCGTCGTTGTCATGGTGCAAAATCCAGGGCGACCGGTGGAACACCCGGCCGATACCATGCCCCGAGAACTGGCGTGAGACGCTCAGTCCCGCCCCGAGGCCCTTCACGTACCGCTCGATCGCGGCCCCGATGGCGGTGAACGGCCGCCCCGGACCGCAGGCGGTGATCCCCTCGCGCAGTGCGCCCTCGGTGGCGGCCACAAGCGCCCTACCACGCTCATCGACCTCGGGGAGCATGAACGTGCGCGAGGTGTCCCCGTGGAACCCGTTGAGGTACACCGTCACGTCCACATTGACAATGTCGTTCGGCAAGAGGGGGCGGTCGTCTGGAATCCCGTGCGCGACGACATTGTTGATGCTTGTGCAGACCGACTTGGGATAGCCGTGATACTGCAAGGGAGAAGGGTAGGCGTTGTGGGAGATGATGAACTCATGCAGGGCCGCGTCGAGTTCGTCAGTTGTAAGCGCGGTCTGAACGAAGTGAGTGCGGCGGCTCTGCAGTAGAGGGGGGAGCGTACCCTGATGAGCGTGCCGGCATGCTCGAGGGTCCGCTTTGCGAGATTTGCTGCAGCTCGTAGTGATAGTTCCTCCTCGCCCCGGAGCTTGATGATACCGGTGTCCCCCGGGCGGGGGCCGTACCCCTCCTCGTCACTCACATAGGGCGGACGAGTAATATGATCCGGGACGGACCGCCGGGGAATGTGCGCAACCCCATGCATAAAGGGCTCAGAGGGTAATAGAATATCGTACCCCTCTGCCATGTTCCGCGCGAGTGCAGCAAGCGTGTTGTCAGTGTCCTCCTCCCCTTCGGGCGACGCCGTCGCGAGGGTCTTGGGGATGACCACGCGCCGTGGTTGGGCAAAAACGCCCGAGGTGACTTTTGGCGGTGAGCTGGAGAGACATCTTGCCTGCAGGTTTGGGGTGCGTGATCGCACGCAAGTGTGACGAAGTAGGTTGGAGAGGTAGCGCTCCATGCTGCCTTCGACAACCAGGTCGCCGTCGACGTCGACAGCGAGCGATGCCGAGGTCCCTACCGAGCGGCTGTGCGCGCCGTTGGCGCTGTTGGGTCGTGGTGCCGGGCCCACCACCATCACGAGCAAGACACGACGGACGGGGTAGGCCACACAAAATGTCGTCCGACGTACGCCCCCGCCACCTTCCTCTTGCCACCACCACTGACCCCCTTGGCCCGCTGCTGCTGTAGCCCAACGCCCCCGTCTGCTGGTACTACCAGACCGGCACCTGCAGGTTCGGCCAAGCGTGCAGGAATAGACACGTCGCATCCAGTGGGCCAGTGAACGGTGCGCCTCGTCGTCTCATCTCCGTTTGAGCGGTAGCTGATAGGAAGGCAAGCACCTACAGCACCAGCGGCCATGCAGGGATTTGGTGGGACAGGGTTTGGCAGCGCACCGAGTGGGAATGGAAACGCGTTCGGCCAACCCTCTGGCAACGCGCTCAACAACACCGGCTTTGGGCGCAACCCCACCAGCGCCGGCTTCGGTGGCAGCACTTCCAATGCATTTGGTAATCCCGGTCCGAATGCCTTGGGGAGCGGCTCCTCCGCTCCGGCCGCTGCCAAGCCTACCTTCGAGTGCGCATATTCTTCCCTGTCTTCCCGTCGCCCACTGACCGAACCGCAGCCCCCAATCGATCATCAAAAGCCTGCCCGTAGACATGCGCGACTACATCCAAGGCGCAATGTGGCCGCTCACCTCGTACGCTGTCGCCAAGTTTGAGCCGAACGTGCTCGAGGGGCTCGATACGGCGCCCGAGGAGGTCAGGCTCGAGTATTACAAGCTGAGGAATGCGCCTGGGGGATTACAGCAGTATGTGCGTATTCTATATTGACTACGCTGTGGCATATGGCGCGTGGCATATGCCCCTACGGTTGGATATGCACTGACCCCGTACAGGAACACATGTGGAACAACGCGTACGCCAACGCGCGCTCCCAGTACTCGGAGGACCCGCACCGGCTCGCAGCAATGGTGGCAGAGGCGGAAAGGCGGCATCGTGCACGCGATGCAGGCCAGCCTTTCCAATCGCAGCAGCCACAACCAGCATCAGGGGCAACGACATCGGCCTTTGGTCCAGGCGGCATGGGTGCACCGCCGCCCGCTCAGGCCCAGGGGAGCGCCTTTGGTGCCGGAGGGATGGGCCAGCCTCAGCAGCAGAACGCGTTTGGACAGCCGCAACCAGCGCAGAACGCTTTCGGTCAGCCGCAGCCGGCACAGTCCGCGTTTGGCTCTGGCGGCAGCGGCCCTGCGCAAAGCACGTTCGGACGACCTCAGCCGCCCCAAGCGCAGAACGCGTTTGGCCAGCCACAGCCAACTACCAACGCATTCGGCCAGCCTCAGCCATCGCTGAATGCCTTTGGCCAACCACAACCCGTGCAAAACGCGTTTGGCCAACCACAGCAGGCGCAATCTGCCTTTGGCCCCGGCGGGATGGGCCCTGCGCAGAGCACGTTCGGTCAGCCCCAGCCAGCACAGAACGTGTTTGCTCAGCCTCAGCCGCAGGGTCAGAACGCGTTTGGACTACCTCCGCCGCAAGGTCAGAGTGCTTTTGGTCAGCCGCAGCCTCAAACCGCGCCGGCGTTCGGCCAGGCACAGCAACCTCCAGCGTTCGGCACTGAACCCGGGACGACATCGGCATTTGGTCCTGGGGGGGCTGGCCCACCTCAGCAGCCACAGCAGCCTCAGCCGTCACAACCGGCAGGGTTTGGCGCGCCTACCACGGCTCCAGCAGCTGGCTTCGGCCAGCCTCAGACTCAGCCCCAACCGCCGTCTGCCGAACCCAAGATAACCGTCAAGTACCGCCAGCGGCCGCTCGTGCCGGACTTCATCAACCCCTTCCCGACGAAGGAGCCGTGGGTCCCTGGTCCCGTGCCGTCGTTCGACCCCAAGGCTGGAAGTCTGTTGCCAGAGCAGCTCAGGACACAGTTCAAGAGGCCGACATGGCCCGAAACGGACGCGGCAAGGAAGAAGGTGGCGGATGCTTGGACTGCACTGCCGGAAGAGTTCAGACGGGAATGCGACGAGATCTGGAAGGCGGACAAGTTTGAATACGGCAAGATCCCAGGGCTGCCACCACCCTCCGAGTACCGATAGATCAAGCTGGGCATAAGACGGTTACATTATTTCGGGCATTACAAGGAATGGGGTGGTCATACAGATGCGTGAGAGGATATCAATTGGGCCCAATGAATTGGTAGAGTATACCTCGAACGAGTCTTGAGAGATGTGCCGAGTCGTGCTGTAACGCCTGGTCAGCATTTGTAACGTTAGTACGGATACCCTGCACACCTGATACGAGTTCTGTAATGACAACCGTGAGCATTCATCACTGACAGCCCACAAAACACATACCATGACCATCGCCATGCCAATGGCAGCCAATACTGCGTCTCCTCTTGGAACCTTGAAGACCAGTCTCCGGCTCTTCAACATTCCCCACGCGCTCTCCAGTGCCTTTGGCAGCACATACATCGCAAGTTCTCCGCGTCGCTTCTTCTCCTCCACAAACAATGAAGTGCACGTCATGAATCCGCCTAGCCAGAACGAAAAGCGCGAGGCAAAGAACTTGCGCAGGATCTCTGGCGTCCCCGGACGGAGCCACATCTGATGCTTGAAGCAGAACCAGGCTTTTCGTTGTGAGATGCGCAACCGGCGCGAAACAGAAAGGAGACGTACCTTGATAGAGTACGACGAAGATCCCAAGGAAGGAGCAACTCCGAAGAATGCCCCCTGCTGTCCGTAAGATGCTCAACACGGGTTGCTGCATGAACCTCTTCGGCCTGAATAGCAATGCCGGAATTAAATGAAGGGCAGTATAGACCGGCGCCATCGATTTGGCAACCACCATGAAGCGATCCAGGGGAACGTTCCAGCACGAATCAATCCATGGATGTACAGCCTCACTAAACGGTAAATGATGTGAGCGATCATCTCGAGGAGACAGCTGAGTGCAGCTGACCATGGGACGAACGGTGGCCCGAAGTCACCATGCAGAGCTTTGGCGATATCAACGTTCAATAGATGCCTGTTGCCGACGGTCGTCGCCTGTTACAACGTCAGTCAATTCTCTATGTCACGCATCTCGCGCTCACCTTCCTATCCCTCTGAATTCTCATCCACTCAGGGTCGAATCTGCCCTCCCTCTTTGCACCGCGGTTAATGAGAACCGCTTGTTTCGTAACCTTGCTCGCATTTTGGATCCAATTGTTGTATCCTCTTGGAATCGTCTCCGGGCGAAAAAGGAACGCATACATGATCTGGCCGCTTGCGAGACCAAAGATGAGAACGGCGCCGTATGGGATCACAAGATTATGAGCGAGGACAACGGCTTGCAGACCGCTAAGTAAAATGATAGCATCCAGTCACCGGCAAATGGCAGAGGCGGACGCACCGAACGAA